AGAAAACCACAACAACTCAACGAAGGCCCCCTGAAATGGTGGAGCTCAAAGCCAGCTTCGCCAGACGGTTCATCGAGAGGGGGAGTTGCGTACTTCCGCCACCGTCCCTCAAAACGCCTCCCAGGAAAATAACGTGCCTCAGCTCCCGAACAGCTTGGACAACACCCGAGTTTGGGATTGCGCCTGAGGGTACATGGCCGATTCAAGAAAACCTGGATCCCAAAATGCGGACGTCTCGTTCTTATCTATTTTTGTTCACCGCACTGCGCCCAAGCACACCCAGGACGGACGCTTCGTGAGGGGCCAAATCTGACACCTCGCCGACCTGGTGGTGGTCGTAGATCTCCCGCAGGCTCGCCCGGGGGCCGCGCCTCTGCATGGGCAGCAGGTGCCGGAGAAGGGGCCGCGGGGCGGGCGGCCGGGCCAGAACTTAGGACCCAGCACGCCGTGAGCGAGAGCACAGAATCCTTCGAGCCGTCGCGACATCATCACCTTTTACTCCCGCCGATCTCCGGCAGCCTTTCCGGCCGGCGGGGCTCGCGGCTTTTCCCGAGAGCCAAGCAACGCACACGCCCGAGTGATGCCGAGCAGGTCGGCGCCGCGGAGGCTTCGGAGGTCCGCGCGGACTTCTCGGCCGGGCGCCGGAGCCTCCGCCCTGGCGCGCGAGGCGCGCAGCGCCTGCGCCCCCGCGACCCCAGGTCGCTTCGGGGGGAGGAGGAGGAGGAGGAGGAGGAGGAGGAGGAGGAGGAGGAGGAGGAGGAGGAGGAGGAGGAGGAGGAGGAGGAGAGGAGGAGGAGGAGGAGGGAGGAGGAGGAGGAGGAGGAGGAGGAGGAGGAGGAGGAGGAGGTGGAGGAGGAGATGGAGGAGGGAGGAGGAGGAGGAGGAGGAGGAGGAGGAGGAGGAGGAGGAGGAGGAGGAGGAGGAGGAGGAGGAGGAGGAGGAGGAGGAAGAGAGAGAAACGGCAGGGGACGCGTCGACGGAGGCGCCGCTGGGGGGCACAGCGCCGACCCAAGAAGCCCGCGCGGGCCTCCGAGCGCGTGTGCTTGTGCCGACTTCCCGCAGTCGTCGTGCTGCCACAGAGAGCGCTGTTTTCTATATGCCAGCGTGCCGGGACGCCCTTGCGCCTGGCGCCGCGCTTCGGTGGATCGTGCACCCCAAGGTCTGGCAGATGGACCGCAGCGCTTGCCCTTGGGGCGCTAGGAAGAGCGATGCCTTCTGCGCAACCTACGCCATGCCGTGTTGCAGTGGACGGGTGGCCAGAACAACAGCAAGCACTTCGACTCACTGTCTGAAACCAAAAAATGCAGCACGCCAGAGCTGAACAGCTACAATAGAGGGTAATGAGTCGACTTCGGCGACCACCACCTCGGCGACTTCCGCGAAACATTCGGTATGTGTTTTATTCGTGGGTAATTTACGGTAGGTAGTGCTTTGATTCATACCAGCAGGGCATCCTGCCTCTGCGCGCAGGCCCTCGCGGCAGGGTAGTCCCGCAAGGCCACCGCCATCCTGTGCTCGAGATCGGCTAAGCTCGTACTCGCTGGGCTCGCCGGCACAGAACTCACCGATGGAGAGAGGGTGCCGTCGAAGTTCACCGTGACCGCGTCGATGTTGACCTCGCCTGTCGGCCGCTTGGTGAACATCAAGCCCACGTTTGGCGGTGTCGGGCCGACACTGCCCGCGTAGTGCAACGGAGTCCATGTCAGGTTGAAGAGCACCCGCAGAGGATCAAAATTGGTGTCGCTCATTGAAAATATGTGGGCGTAGCCGGGCGGGGTGCCCTTCGAAAGCTGGTGCAGCAGGGCCCGCGCGATGCCAACGCCGTTCGCGGCCTTCAGGCTGGGGCCGGTCTCGACCTGATGAAAGTAAGCCTCCCAGGAGTAAAGAGGGAAGAGCTCCTCGATGCTAACGTTGAGCTCCTGGCCGCCGAAGGTGATGGACCTCCCGTCGGGGTCGACGCCCGAGGCCTTCGCGTAGAACAGCTGCTGCGCGAAATACTTGAGCGCAGAGGCGCTGCCCCGGACCCGCGGCTGCCCCTCCTCGGCGCTCCAGGAGACGTCCCGCGTGTAGCTGGGGGGCATGAGCTCCATGATCGTCTTACTCTCGGCGGCGAGCCAGGGGGGGAGGTGAGAAGGAGAAGGCCCTCTCGGCAGGTTCGGAAGTCCCCCGGCCTTCTGAGAAGTGGTCCGAGCCTGCCCCGAAGACAACAAGAAAACTCCTCGGAAGGCGCGAGGGCTTCTGAGAAGTCCCGCCGCCTTCTGGGGAGGCCTCCTCCTTCTCCCTTCCCCCCCCCCCGCTCGCCGCCTGACATTCCCCACTCCGATGACTCTCTTGAAGCTCTCCAGCATCGCGCCCCACCTGGCGGGGTCCACCTCCGGAGGCGGCCCGAGGCCGCCGGGCATGGGGGTGGTCTCCAGGAGGCGCCGCGCCTCGTCCATCTGGACGGCCTCGTCGGGCACGGGGCAGCCGCGCGCCGAGGCGTTGGCGAAGATGACCTCATCGGTTTCCATCCTCCACGCCTCGGCTGCACGCAGGAGTGACCCCCTGGGCAAGAGTGACCTTTGGTGCGCGGCTTGTTGGGGGCCGCGGGAGGATCAAACACGAGCGCGCAAGACGCTACTATCGCATCGCGTTCGGCGATCGGGGGACCCCAGTGGGCCAGCACCAACTGTCACTCCGGCGAATGGTCACTCTTACGTGGAGTCGAACGCCTGGGGTCGACCGCTGTAGATGCCCGCCATGACCGCCTGCGCCGTCTGCACCTTCCGCATCACGCCGTCGTTCGTGGCGGAGACCCTCCCCGGCCTCAGGCCGTAGCGGTCTCTGAGGAACTGCCCGACCACGTTGCTGGTGATGGCAAACCCCCCTCCAGTGCACCACTCGTCAGGCGAGTCCCAGTCGGGGACGGGCAGGGACGAATACGCCTGGTACTCTGGCTCTGGCTCTCCTGTGCCCCGGACGCAGTGCCTCATGAGGTAAACGTGGCTGCAACCCTCACAGCCTCGCTGGTTCAGCTGGCGCTCGGGTGTCGCCTGCTCTGCACCACCCCCCTCAACCTGCACGGCGTCCTGCCCATGACGCCCATGCCCACAGTGCGCCAGCCAGGCGGCCAAGAGCGCAGACCGCATCACTAAACTCGGCGCTGCACAACAGCAGCGGCCACTGCGCACCCCAGACATGCGACGTCCTGATTTTTTCAGGACAGCGTCCCCGGGCAAGTCCCGACCCTTTCCCCGGGGCCGGTTTGTCATCCTGAGTCCTTTTTTGACGGTCCCGGGGCCCGGCGAGGGCCCCCAGGGGCCGAAAGTAGCCAACAGCCTCCCGTCCTGATTTTTCTATGACGCGATCGTGTCTGGGACTGATCCGCGACGCCACTCTTGGGCCGAAACGCCTACGGCTGCCACCAGGACGCACGCCGACGCACGCCGAGCCAGGAGCGATTGGGTCCCTGCTGGGCACGGCGAGCCTCGGCCACGCCCCGCCGCCCCGCCCCCCGGGCGCCGAGGCACGGCCTGGAAGCCAGGGGCCCCTCCAGAGCGCGTCGGCGTCTTCAAGACCCGCCCCCTCCTCCTCCTCCTCCTCCTCCTCCTCCTCCTCCTCCTCCTCCTCCTCATCCTCAGCATCATCATCATCATCATCATCATCATCATCATCATCATCATCATCATCATCATCATCATCATCATCATCATCTATCTTCAGCGCCGTCAATCATCGTCATCATCATCACCATCATCAATCAGCATCATCATCATCATCCAGCATCGGCCATCATTCGTCATCATCAATCATTATCATCCTCATATCATCCATTTCCTCCTGGTCATCATCATTCATATTCATCATTATCATCATCCATCTCGTCATCATCAGCAGCTATCATCAGCATCAGCATTCAGCCATCAGCATCAGCATCAACATCAGCATCAGGCAATCATCAGCAATCAGCATCAGCCCCCCATCAAGCATCATCATCACGCATCATCATCATCAGGCATCATCAGCATCCCGCATAAGCATCAACATCAGGCATTCATTTTCCATCATCAGCATCAGCATCAGCATCAGCATCACATCCAGCCATCAGCATTCATCATAGCATCAGCAGCATCCGCATCGCCACATCATCATCATCAACATCATCATCAGCAATCAAGCATCAGCAACAGCATCAGCATCAACATAGCATCTCATCATCATCAGCAATCAGCATCGCATCAGGCATCCGCATCAAAATCAGCAACTGCAGGCATCAGGCATTCATCATCAAATCAGCAGCATCCACATCAGCATCAGCATCAGCATCATCAGCATCTAGATCATCATCATATCATCACTCAGCATCATCATCAGCATCAGCATCAGCATCAGCATCCCCAGCATTCAGCATCAGCATCAACGCATCATTCAGCAGCCATATTCATAATCAGCATCATCAGCATCCAGCCATTAATCCATCCACCCGTCCATAATCAGCATCAGCATCAGCACAGTATCAATCAATCAGGGCCCAGCCCATCAGCCAATCAGCCATTAGCCAGCAGCAGCCATTCAGCATCAGCATCAGCATCAGCATCAGCATCAGCATCATCATCATCATCATCATCATCATCATCATCATCATCATCATCATCATCATCATCATCATCATCATCACCCTTTAAGACCCCTGCTCCTCCTCCTCCTCCTCCTCGCCCTCCTCCTTCTCCTCTCCCTCCTCCTCCAGTGGCCCCTGGGGTCTCCTGCAAACAGCGGGACGCTGGACCACTGGCGGCGTGTTCGACCCCTGAACGCCGTGCGGCGGGATCGCCGCCGCACCGGCACGCCTCACGAGCCCTCTGTCGGGGGTTTCCGGATGAGGGGGCTTGTCGGGACAACGGCAGCTTTCCCACCCGGCCCACAACGAAATCAATCCCCGGCCCACAACGAAATCAATCCCCAGGCCACCCAGCCCACAACGACATCAACCCCCAGCCCACAACGAGACCACTCCCCAGGCCGGAGGAGGGCCTTCCCACCCGGCCCACCACGAAACCAATCCCCGGGCCCCTCTGGGGGTCCATCCTGGCCCGTTCGTCGCGGCGGACCCCGCCGCGGCGACGACCAGCCCCCAGGAAGCCCCCAAAGAGGACGAGAAACGCCGGGGAGAGCCGCCGATGTCTCGACTGGCCCCCCTCGGAGGTGCAAGCCTCCCGTGGCCCCGCAGGGAGCTTCTGTATAGGAAGCGGGCCGCGTCGACACGACACGGATCCACCGAACCAGCCGAACGACGACACGGAGGGGGGAAACAAAAGGATGCCCGTGCTGCTACTCCACGGAGCTCTTCTGGGGGCGCGTTCTGGCCAGGATCCCGAAGCGAATCTGGCCGTGGTGGCGGGGGAAGGGTGGCGGCATCAGTACGTTTCCTCGCACAAAACCGGCGGGTGCCACAACAGCATCGCGAATCAAAAGGTCGCTAGGCAAACTGGGAACACCGCACAAGCAGACCTGAAACAGGCAAACTCATGTTGGGAACCGTGGCCCGAAATCTAAATCGCAGCGCAGCAGCGACAGGAAGAGGAGAGGGAGTATAGTCGGCCCGTATCATAAGGATGCGCGATAAGGATGCAAGGGCCTTGGACGCCCATTTCGGAGCTTTTCGAGCGGGGCGCGGCCAACGGAAGTGGCGAAGGCTGGACCGAGGAGGCAAGGATGCAAGGGCACCCTTGAAAAGGCTGCCCATCCTTCCCATGCGGCTTGGCCGCAGAAGCGGCATCAACATATTCCCCTCCTCTGGCACGGCATGCCCCTGCTTCAGCGTCTCAAGCCTCCCGCGGCCCCCGCCGGGGCTCCTGCAGGAACCGTGCCGCGGCCCCAGAGGCCCCGCCCCAGATCCGCTGTGCCAGAACAGCGTTTCGCTGGAGGGCGCCGATCCCCCAGGGGCCCCCCACGGAGCCCAAGAGGCCCCTCAACAGAGCCCAAAGCAGGACTTCAGAGCGTCGGCGTCGTCGCCGCCGCCGCCATCGTCGTGTTCGTCGTGTTCGTCGTCGTCGTTTTCGTCGTCGTCGTCGTTTTCGTCGTCGTCGTCGTTTTCGTCGTCGTCGTCGTCGCCGTCGTCGTCGTCGTCCCCCTTCAGGGCTGGCGACACCCGCCGCAAGGCCTTCCCAACAGGAGCCAAGACAGAGGAGCCTCGCAGGGGGGGGGGGCGGGGAGCCCGAGGCCGCCCTGGGCGCGCAGGCGGTCCGGAGGCCGTGTCGCCGGGTCACAGACCTCGCCACCGCTTGGACGTCCATTCCCTGTGCATCTTCGGCTTCGCGCGCGTACTTTTCGCAAGGTGAACAAACATGCTCCTCGATGGCCCTTGCCGGCGCCTGTAAAGAATGCACATGTCCGAGCGATGCCAGGAGACAGGCGCGCTCCACGGCTCGCAGAGTGGCTTCTCGCAAGTGGCCTGGCTCCGCCGTGGGGAAGTCACGCTGCATTCTGGGATGCACAGAAACACACAATACCACACATGTCCTCCTTGGAGACGCGCGTCTGGCCCGCACAGATAGTATGCCCATCTGGTAGTAGATCGTTTCCCGAGCGGTGTGGCCAGAAAGCGCCCGCCACGACGCATATACTAGAAGATTTCTCGGTGCGGGCGTCGCCCCCGGGGGGGGGGGCGACGGACATATAGTATAAGTATGATGGGGTGACGCCGACATTGCACCGATGTAGGCATGTCACATGTCTACATCGATGAAGACATGTGTTTTCGGCCGTTTGCGAGCAGGCACTCTGCGAGTCGTGGAACGCGCTCGGCGTGGTCACGAACCGTGCTCGAGCCGCAATGCCGGCGGCATGTTTGTGCTGGACGGCCGCGATCCCCGTCGCTTCCCAAAAAAACATGCATCAAAGTGCACGCGGCCGTGCCCTCGCCCCTGCCCTGGCACGCTTCCGCTCGCCGACCTCCTCCTCCTCCTCCTCCTCCTCCTCCTCCTCCTCCTCCTCGACCTCGCCACGTCACCCCTGCTGCTGTCGGGGCCCTCTGCTGGGGCACCTGGCGGCCGCCAGGGCCCGAGAGCGGGCCCCTGGAGGCCGAGGCCGAGGAGAGATCGCCGAGCTCGCCACCGCTCGGACGTCCACTCCCTGGGCTTTTTTTCGGTTCCGTGCGTGGCTTTTTCGCCAAATGATCAAAAGGATACTCCTCGATGGTCCTCGCCGAGGCAGAAACGCACACGTCCGAGCGATGCAGCAAAGACCAGATCGTCGGAGATCCTGGTCGGCGGGCGGCGGCAACGAGTGGCGCCCCGAGACGTCAGCGTCTCGGCCTCCCGTGGCCACCGCGCGGCGGGCCTCCTCCTCCTCCTCCTCCTCCTCCTCCTCCTCCTCCTCCTCCGCCCTCCTTCCTCCTCCCTGGCCCTCCTCCTCTCCTCCTCTCCTCCTCCTCCTCCTCCTCCTCCTCCCCGTCCTCCTCCTCCTCCTCCTCCTCCTCCTCCTCCTCCTCCTCCTCCTCCTCCTTGGCCCTCCCCCCTGCGG